GGGAAGACGTTTTCACCTAATTATCACTTAATAATTTTGCAATACTTCAAACACCGAACATAATATGCTACTCACGAATATATTTATGAGGCTTGAACACTGTTATAAATTAAAGACATTAAATTTCCACCTGACAAATACGCGCCGAGTTTAATTAACGAGCACGTCATAAAATTCATGAAATCACGTTCATTAAGCAAGACACAGGAATCGTTCACGGCATAACATAAATATTCATTACGATTATTTTACCGATGTGCGTGCTCGTTTTCGCGTGTACCGCAAATCTAGTAATACGTGATTAACAATTTTGAAATTACGTTGATGTATCTCGTGCGCGCGCGCGAGCACAAACGCTCGCCTCTCGTGAATTTATGGCCGTCATTGATTTAATTACAGTCTGGTTAACCTCATTCAACTAATCATGAGGTTATGTCACTGCTCCGAATGCAGGGTCCAAATCGGTGCACCTTGCGCGTATACTTAACTTGCCATAAACTGCTGCATGATTAACGATTATTATCGAACGAATTAATATTTGTAAAATGCAATAGATCGGGGTCGACATAGATTGTTAATTCTTATATAGTTAAATATATATTTCCTACGATAAATATTCCTTTCATTTTTATATTTTTGCGACTATATAAATTAAAATTAATTCATTTAAAAATATTCCTCCGTCAGTTTAGATATCTGAGTTTTTATTTTTCAATAGGTACTCTATATATCTTGATAATTACAGAACATGAAATCTATTTAAAATTATAATATTTTTATTACCTAATATTTATTTTTATTTAAAAATTTATCAAAATAGTTTCAAAGACTTTCTGTTTTTAATAAACTATAATTTTAAAATTGTATATAATAAGCATAATAGAAAATGGACTATTATTTAATCAACAGAGAGTTTGCATGTGAACAAATTATCTTAAAAGCTCTAGCATGTCTAATTATTAATGAATGCCATTTTAAAAGAAAGTTTAATGTCTTTCGTATATGTATATAATTAAGAAAGATTGCAGAAGAAAATAGAGAAAATAAAATGTATAATTCTAAAAAATATATATAAACAATTTTTTATAACAAAATTCTCTAGATTCGATCGCAAGTGTCTTCGTTGAAACGTTTTAATTATAAGCAGCGGACAAAATTGGCGTGAATAATGTTGACAAATGGGGGAAGAATGGAAATTATTATGTCGACGGTACGGTTGCGACAAAATATCTGCACTGTCATTTTCGTTACTTTGCGATTCATTTAACCAACGATGCGTTCAGACTGCGTTCATAATTGCGGTAGATGTCTCACACTGAATCGCGCGCTATCCGTGTATCTCGCGTGCCATCCGTTTCATCCGGTTAAAAGGTTTCATCATTTGGTTATTCGACACGTACGTATCCTCGCTGTTCTACTTTCAGTTCGTTCCCCTCAAAATTTGTTTACAAATGCGTCCAAATTCATCTGGTTCGTTATTCGCATCGTGAATAATTCGTTGGAATGGGTTCAAGAAAGAACAACAACGTGATAAACGTACGCTGCATGTGATCGATATAACACAATTAAATTGCCTTGCATTGTAAAACCCATTTCGTTCGGATAATTTTGTCACATGTGTCTGTAAAATTTTTCTTTAAATCATTTCTCCGTATTTTTTCCTGCTTGACGTTGATGCGAACGATTTTAAATATAATAAATATAAAGATTATATATACATACTGTATATATATGTATGTATGATTTCAATGTAAATTAGTTTTAGATAATATCAAGAGAAAAGTTGCATCATTATTGATATTTTTTATTAATGCATAATTTTATTCATTTTTTATAACATTGCATAAATGTAACGATCGTGTTATGTAAAATATAGAATATATATATCTCAAGGCATGAGAAATATATTTAGAGCGAGAAATATGGATACATATAGGTATACGTACGAGTGCATATATGCATATATGTATATACATGTATAGATACCATCTTTCTTTCGCTGTAATATATCTGTCATACACTTGAGATATACTTTATATTTTGCATAACGCGATTGCATTTATGCAATGCTATTAATAATATCAATAATTATGTGATTTTTTTTGGCATCCTCCAAGATTAATTTACATTCAAGTCTTATATAAAGCACAGTGTATAGTAAAAAATGTAATATATATATATATAATAAGCATATATTTTTTAATCTATTGCATCACATAAATTTTACAGCAGCTACATCTTTTATTGACAAGGAAATAATCACGAAATTCGATGCTGGTTATCGTTACACGATAGTTATCTGGTCCTCGTTATACGTCAGGCGTCGTCGAAGATAAGAAAAAATCGCACATAACAATGCCATTTTCCGCGACTCCCCAAATTACGAAGGATGCGCTTTTCGACGATGTTACTTATCGGAAGATCTACGATTCGAAAGGGACTATTTACGGTTCGTAGGGTAACTCGTCGACCTTTCCTCCCTCCGTCGTGCTTTTCTGCTGGCCCCTGCCGATGCCCTTTCTTCTTCATAAGAACAACGGCTTTGGCGAACAATAAATCACGACACGCTCGTGGGAAGTTTTCAGACCGTTTCCGGATATCATTCTGGATGGCTCGGATTTTTATGCTAACGGTGCGGACCGATATCGCGTCCTGTACTATACGAGTATGTCGACGCGGTGCCGTTCGCTGCGATCTATTCGTTTCGTTGGGATAATGTCGAAGGGTCGAGAGTTGGTACCCATGGGACGACGGGGGTATACTTCAATATCCGGAATTCGGTATTCGCGAAGGGGGACAGTTCGATGGGCGTTGAATTATCGCAAGTAGCATGACGCAACTTCTGCACAATATCTTGGCTTTTTCAATACAGATCTTATACACGAAGAGATAAAAAATATAGAATTTGTGTTCGATTACAACTTGATGTACCTAGTATTATATAAATAGCTACATATTTAATTAGTGTCACTTTTTCATAATAAAATAGTAAATATATATTTAAATAGTAAATATATATATTTTTGCTGATTAATATGTAAATCTTGTTTTTTTAACATACTATAATATTTGCAATTTCGTAATGAAAATTGAATCTAATTTATAAGAGAATTTTGCATGTGTATAGATATTTCCCCAATTTATAATACAAGCGTGTTCTTTCAAAATCCATGCTAATTTAAATTAGCTTTGAAAAAATTTTCGCCGCGAGGCACGAGATATCCCCGGTTGATGAATATGGGATTCCGCCAAACTAACCCTACTGTCGCGCAACGAGCGGCTTCGCGAAAGAGAAGGGCGCGATCCGATTGACAAAGGGGCGCGGAGAAATATCTGCGATCAAATCCCGGCTGTTTCAGCTTGATGGACCTTATTTGTGTCGTTTTTTCGAGGGACGATCAGAGCCGACATCCCGCGAGAATCGCCCAAATGCACGACCTCCTCCCGTGCGAAGACCACCCTCCGTCAGGCTCATCCCCTAACCGAGCTAATAAGCAACCCCAAAGAGACGTCGAGCGGCAACTGTGACATTTATATATATATATATATATATATATGTATATGTATATACATATATAGATATACATGTACTCACATATCCACCTAGGGATGCCGAAGGGCAATTTGCATTCATATTTGGGATGGTAATTAGGGGGAAGGCTATAATAATCGCGATACTTGGACGCCCTAGCGACCCTAATAGATCGACTCTGCAGTCGAGCTTCGATTTTAATAATAATACTACGAGCACAAGAATTGCGAGCACTGCCAACCCTTCGTAACGTTCGTCGCAGCCTATCCTTAGGGCGATCTGTTATTTTGAACTTTGACAACCACATCTGAATTGTTTCTCTTTGTTAAGGGAATGACTTCGATCACGTTCGACGAAAGCTTCGATATAAAATGTAATGGCAATAAGAGATGTTCGATAAAAGGAGAGAATTGAATTTTCTCTCTCTTCTATAACAAATTGAAAGTTTTTTTTTCACAAGTTGTTAAATAATTTTTATTTCCGTAAAAATGCTTTGCCTCCTTTTTTGCTCTCAAATAATTTCAAAAATAAATGCCACGTAAAATATTTTTTTTACATTCTAAAATTAAACGTTAAATATTTTTTACCGGTTTCAAAAGGATTCACATTTTTTGAAAAATAAGTTCTCCGATCGACAGATGGATGTCAGAAATTACAACGATTGTAAAAATGTGCTAATGACGCGACGTCGTGACGAGATACATATATATTCGTCGCATTTCGGTATGCATTCGCGTCAGGTGTGCAAACAGAATACTGTCCGACGCGTTTGCATCTAAATCCGAAAAAAACCAACCTCACCGAGCGGAAAATGTCGCTACGAGCCATGCGAAACGAATGTAAACCAGGATGTACAACGCGCTCGCTACACGATTCCATACCATCGAGTTCCGGTAGACTCCGGTAGGTAAATAATTATACGTGCAATGTTTCTGTAAAACAGTCGTTGAAAAGCTCTAACAGTAGATACAATGGCATCACATGATTTCCAACTTCCAACTGACACGTTAACACACGACTATTGATTACGCACGACATTCCTCCTATAGCGCAAATGATTATGCATAATGATTGTCAAACATTGATGGCCGACAATGTGTATAACGAATGATGTAAATTTGTCTCGTTTTTAATTCAGTTAAATATTTCCCATTAACACAATGTTATAATAATATATTCATAAATTAAGTCACATAATAATAAATCAAAACGAGAAAATTAAAAAACCAAGAATAAACAGAATATATTTTTTAATATATATATATATATATATATATATATATATATGTAATGCTAAAATATTAATAAATTTGAATAAAATTTGTGTATGTATAATAAAGAATTTAAAAAAAATAAAGAAAGCACGAATTTAGTACTAATATTTCATACATAAATTATGTTTATTAGTATTTGATTTCTTATTTTGCATATAAATACATCAACTTATAAATCTTTTTCTTCTACTCACGCATAGACGTTTGGTGAGTCTAATCCAAAACGTATTTCCGTCGAAAAATAGAGCATGCTTTTTTCTTACCTGCAACAAAACAAAAATAAAATTATTATGTAATGAATAAAATAAAATAGATTATGTTGAAATGTGTTATAATAAATTATAAATGTAATATTCCTGATTAACAATAAAATATAATAGGGAATTAATTTCTAGCTCGCGCTGCTCGTTGTAAAAGTGCGATTATTTGAAACTTAATGACAATGTTTTGCTTCTCGTTGAAAAAAAAGAAATAATATTTGTTTAAAAAATATTGTCAATAGCGGAAAATGCGTTCACGCCCCGTGGCATACGGACGTCAGAAGTGATTTAGGAAGCTGATACTACGGGTGAAAGTCAAATAGAAACCCCGTCGTGTTGAAATACGTCGTTGGGAGGACGTCCCTTGGTACGCTAATGGAAAGAGCCAGGTCGCACTTCTGTATACAGGGTGTGCTGAAAGAGCTATACGCGATCGCTTAAAATAAAGAGTAAATTGATAAACATTTAGGACATCAATTATTAAAGTACGCTTTCGCAGCGTATATCGTGTATAAATAAAAGAGCCAGCCGCTTCTTTTGCGAGAAAATCGCTGCACGCGATAAGCTTCTCGTGATAAAAGATTTCAATTTGTGGCAGCAAAAGCGCATACTACTAAAAGATTCATGCAGTCACGAAAACGTACTACATATTACAAGCCAAATTGTATCAATGTCTAAAAAGATTCATTCATTTCGAGGTGAAAGATTTCAAGGTGAAAGATAAATCGCCCTTGGCGTTTCATTTGTTTAGAAAGTTAATAGTCACGCTTGTGTTATCAAATAATAATTTCACTTTATCAGAAAGAATTGATGCTACAACTTTTTGTTTAATCTGTTAATTAATGACTACCTTTCTGTTCTTTTAAAATTTTATAATTTTAGATTTGATTTCTGATATCTTAAAGAGAAAAAACATTATGTGCTCATATAAATATATCAAAATCCATCAATAATTATAGTGCAATTATAAATATATTATTATATATTATACATATTTCATTAATGAGAAAAAATTACGATAATAAATGATTAAGATAATATAAACGATTCGTAATAAATCGTTGCTTATATCAGAAGAGAACGGTAGATTTACATTTTAACATAATAAATTATACATATTTTGCGTTAGATGCAAATATACTCGTTCATTAAAGAAGTCGATTAAGTCCAATCCGAGTGACCTAATACATTGTCACCTTGTATGTATGTCGTATAAGTATAACGTCTCTATACGGCGCGAACCCTCGCACGAGCGATTGCGGTCGGTTCACGAAGGGCAGACAGGGATGTCTTTTGGGGGACGGGCTCTTTACGACATTATGTATCACTTAAATACCCTCCCGCCGACAAATAGCCTGACTCATGGGATTTTATTAGGCCACCGTGAGCGCATTCTATCGCGAGATAATGGCGGGCGCCAGCTGAGCGTGACGCTCGGTTACGACCATATGAGCACGTAGTATGGCATTTGCAAGAGCGAGACATGTGTATTCGTAGGAAGTAGATGCTTATGTTGACCATGAGAGGGAGAAGGATGAATCAAACGGGATGTTGTCCCTTTTTGTTAATCAGTCACGATTTATGAATGTCATTCGCGTCAGGAGTTGTAGAGAGTGACAAAGAATACCTAATATTAATTAACTTGATTAATTCCGATAATTTGCTGAGTTTTCCTTCTCCATTGTTTCAGTGTGTAATTTAGAAATTTAAATTTAAAAAAGTGCATATATGAATCTTTTTAATTATAAATATCTCTCTATATTTTCATACTGTTAGAATTTCGTGAGAAAAATCAAAAAGGAGAAAGAGAGAGAGCGTGTTCGCTTAAAACCAGGCAGCGATGTCGATTACAGCTAGTCGTCGTTAACTGTTTTTCTTCCGCCTATGTTATAGTCGGAATCCAAGGAAGAACAGAGAATCGCGTCGAGCAAAATTAATTTACGAAGGTTGTCGGTGCGACTGTCGGTGTATCTCTGAGCGATATAATTGCGCGAAGCGCGTGATAGTCAGCGAATCAAATTACATTCAGGGCGCGACGGAGAAAATGCTTCTTCTTCTTCGTGTTAATATCACGCCGTTTCTCGCGCGCGCGATTTTAGACACTCCCTAGCATAAACAGTCCGCCCTGTCACTTCGCCGGGTAATAAAACCGCCGGTGAAGCGTCTAGGAACAATTTTCGAGGCTCTCCTTACTACAATCTCGCCGTCATTGCCGATCCTCGACACCGCTCCGAGACAAGCCTCGTAAAGGAACGGTTAACCAAGACCCTCCAAAGCCAAGCTTCGTCTCTTCTAACGTTTCCTGCTTTAATCATAAATCCTTATTAACAAGCTTCCCTTTATCCGACGTATGCGCAGATATATGGCACTCTTACGTAGATAGCTCTCTCTTAGGTTAACTCGATTGACTCTGTTAACATACTCGATTACTAAGACACTCTTTGTCGGAAAAAAAGAGAGTTAGTAAAAATCGGTGTTTCGGATTTATATGCATGGGATTTCACGTAAACATGTTTGCGGATTGTATCAATTTTAATTGCATCGACAAAGCGGCAAAGTTCGTTTAAGATTCTCTCGACGAAGATTGTTCGTAAAATAAATTTTGATCACGTCGCGATATAGGTACATGTTGATAGATCAAACTGAAGGGTGATGGGGATAAACGCTGACGACGAAAGGTGAGTGTCGTTCAAAGCCTTTTACTATCTACAACGTTACCGCGCAGCGAAATCCCCTTAAACCGAAGCGGTGTCGTCATTGATTAACTCGACGTTCAAAGTTTGAATATTTATAACTTGCCTGGATGGACGAGACCCGGTTTCTAAGAGTTTCGGAACAAAGCGTAGTAGTTGTCTCGTCGCTAAATTTCCGGTGGTCGTCGAGTAGATTCGCAAAAGGTTAACATGAACTTTCGCGTATCAAAGTAGTACAGAGAAAACATATGTATTATATATCAAGAAGAAGAGAAATATTAAAATAGCTAATGTCAAAAACAATAAATAACAATAAATGCTGAATATTATAATAATGCAGATACCAGGGATACAAATAAAAAGGCAAACAAAATTCATCATAAATACGATTAAAAAATCGCAGTTTTTTACACATTTTCATCTAATAAATCACATAAATTTTTATATTTATATTACAAAAACAATTAAGGATGAAATTGCGCACCGCGGATGTTCAAAATAATATATCAAATTAATTACAGAAGATTAGATTAATTATTGTAATTAATTAAAATAAAATGATTATTAACTCTTAAAAAAGATTATTATATTACACATTATTATCTCTCTATCTCTAGAGACTTTAATAATTACAAATCATTATCATATATATAATATATAATTCTCTTCTTTATAATTACATAAATGAGTACATATCGTAATATATAATTACTATACATTTCATCAGTCAGATTGCAACTACCAAATACCTATATACCAATTAGAGAATTCGATGCCGCGCGTATTTACGGTTTCGTTTACAGCCGCAACATAAACCGCATTGCGCGACGTGGAGCAAATTAAGTGGTGATTCCAATTGCCAATGTAATAACCGAAAACCGATCGTCGAAACAGGCAGCACCACTTTCTTCTTCCGTTGCGATACCGCGGCAATTCCGATAATCTGCGAGCGCGCGCGCGCGCGAACGGATCCGGCAATACTGTACGATCGGGTATTGGTAACGGAGGGTTCAGGTGAAGTCGATACGGGTCACCAGCCGCGGTGCAGTCTTCTGGCGGTGCATCGTGAATGCATTAATTTGTAAAGGACTATTAGTTTAGCTGAGCGCTAATCGGCATTGTCCAAGTGAACATAACCCTTGGCGAAACTGGTGGTCCGTTTCAGCGGAAAATTGCCGCAGGAGCGACTATATTATCCTGTATAGCAGTATGTTGTATGGTTATCATACCTTCGCTGCGGCATCGCTCAGTTTTAGATCCGCTTAGCGAGGATGCGATATAATTCTCATTCGCTACTTTCCGTCAATGAATCGCGCGCAACGTAATGCCAAACATCCCTCTATCTTTCTCTTGAATTAACGAACAGTGAGACGGAATGACGATCGTGCGCGCATCACCAAATGAAAATCAAAGGATTCCGCACTTCATTGCTAAATGCAGCAGAAAACAAAGTATGCGCGACATATTCACGCTCGACCTATGCTGGCTCGCTGCGATTCTCTCTCTTCCTCTCTTTTGTCATTCTCTTTGCTTCCTTTCAGCTGCTTTCCATTAGCGCGCTTTCAGTGATATCGGTCGTTCGATACCGTTCCGGCAGACAGGTAATTGCGCTCCCTCCTGCCGTATCAGCTGATCCAATTCCAAACGCGTAACGCTTTTGCTTAGTTACACGTGCGCAAACCTAACTGTACACAGGGTGACACTAAAAGAGTATCGGCTGTATATAAGTACACGACCGTGTCGTACGCGCGCGTGTAGCCATTTCACGCATTTCCGCGTCACGCTGGAAAATTCACGCCAAAGTGAGGAGGAAAGAGAAAGAGGGAAGGAAAACAGAGAGCCCGATTACGTTTTCCATTAGCGGTCGCGCCGAGCTTTCTTCGAGCTCTCGTGCTGGCACTCGTGCTGATTATCAACCCACAATGTTCGGGTCAGGTCGCTTTTTTTCTCTCTTCCCGCGTTTTTTCTCCTTGCCTCATTTGCTTTTCCTTTAGGCGACGCGTAAACTCAACACCCTATACGGTTTTCCCGTTACGAGAGAACGTATTACACGTATTGCAGCGCGGACTGTACACGTTGATCGAATCGTCAAAGTTCTCGTCACTCTCGTCCACGCGATATCGAGATAATAACGAAATATCCGAATGTGATGTGGTTACGTATTCCTCCCGAATAGATTTCAAAACGGATAGGTTGATATAGTATATGTGTGAGCTGATTACCGAGTCATGCCACGCAATATTTTTATAGCACGTGTCCCGGATGATAGAATGAATAGATTGAACA